CTAACTACATATATGAAAAATAAAATAAAGCTTCACCAAACATACTTTCTTACTTGTTACTTTAAAATTTCTGTTTATTTCAGCAAATCGGACTAAACCTTTAGGAATTGCCGATTATTACGCCTTGAGCCTAAAAGCACATAACCAGTTGAAAAAAAAAAAGTTTAACGACTTCAACCACACTTTTCGTGGTGTAATTCCTAAACGTTTACTTTTTAAATTTTCAATTGAATTTATCAAATTTTCACGTAATTCATCTTCAACCAAGCATGATAAAAAAGTAAATGTTATTTTAACGAGTTTTTATGTTCATTCCCTCGCTTTTGTGCTGAAATATTGTTGAACTTTTTGTTGATTTATGACACCTTTGTAGATGTGTAATCCTTTTGTTTGCAAAACAATACAAAATATGAAAAATAAACTTGTTTAGAAGGTATTAAAAGTAGAAAGTAAAACAAAGTAATACAAAGCGGATTTATTGAGATATATTGTCATATATGTACAATGGATTAGGGTGAAAAAATCAATATGGAAAAGTCTTTTATTTCTTTCTTTAAAGAGAATAAACTAAGAAGGGTATCAAAGCCCATCTTGCAGTATTGGTTAATTGTCTTTCTTATATAAATTATTTAATTATTATATTTGATTTGTAGACACCACAAAAATTAATTATATTAAAAACAATAACGGAACAAGCAATTATAATTTCAATTAAATTACCCACTCAATGATTGAAGTCTGGCAAACAAAAGATTATTCTAATTTCAAACTTTATTTAATTTCAACAAGTTGATGTTATGTTTTCAGCTCAAGTTGAAAACCAGTTGTGTGAAAGGAAAAGGAAATTGGCCTTAAGCAAACACAATGGCAGCAAGTGTTATTTATTCTCTTTTATTACTTACCTTTACACCATTTTCCTACGCATGAAGAAATTTACATTTGGAGCTAGAGGGACCGTAAAAGGCTTTATATAAAAACATTAAAATTAACTTTAATGCTAAAGTAAAAGAATGGGCTGGGATTTATCTTGAAACATTTTAAGACATCAGTAATACAAATTTAGATTTAGGAATAACAAAAAAGGATTATTCACAGGCAGCAATCCATTAAGTTTAAGTTTTTTTAATAAGAACAAGTTGTAAATTTTTATTGTACATTTGAAATTTTATTTAATGGATTTTAACTTTATATTTTACGAAAAGGCGAGTGTTATTTTTGTAATTTAGGGTGTGTATAATTGATATTATTTTCAACTGAGTTAGTTAAGGTGAAATAGGCAACATTCTTAATTAAATTTCGTACACCTTTTTATACCCTACACCACTTTAGTGGGGAGGGTATATTGGGTTGTGCTGATGTTTGTAACGCACAATAATATTGGTTCTATACCCACCTTAAAGTATACCAATCGGCTTAGAATTATTTTCTGAGTCGATTTAGCTATGTCCGCCCGTCTGTCCGCCCGTCCGTCTGTCCGTCCATGTAAACCTTGTAATCAAACTACAGGTCGCAGTTTTGAAGATAATTCAATGAAATTTGGTAACATGATCTTCTGTTGTCCCAGGGACGAAAATGGTTAAGATCGGTCCATTATTTCACCTAGCCCCCATACAACTGAACCC